ATAGATAATAGATATAGATAGGTAGATCGTTATAAATATATAGATACATTTAGATATATAGATATACATATATGTTGTTGATAAGTGACGTCCAGTCAGTTCCGACTCATAACGACCCTGTATAGGGTTTTCAGGAGCAACTGGTGAGCTTGAACAGCTGAACTTTTGTTCAAACCAACCTCAGAGCCACACCAGGACTCCTATAGTACTTCTACATATACATACATACATATATATGTTGTTGTTAAGTGCTGTCGATTCCAACTCATAATGACCCTGTATAGGGTTTCCAAGGAGCAGTAGTGAGCTTGAACCATGACATTGCAATTCAAGTGACTTTGTAGTCTGATGTTTTAGACCACAGCGCCACACCAGGACTCCATACATATACATACATACACACATATAAAGGCGCTCTGATGGGTAAGCTATGGGCTCCTAACCACAAGGTCAGTAATTCAAAACCACCAGGTGCTCCAAGGAAGAAAGATGAGAGTGTTTGCTCTCAGAAACGTATCTGTAGTATCTCTGTGAGGTAAAATCAGCTCAGTAACAGTGAATTTGGTTTATACATACATATATGTATTAATATAAAGCAAACTAAAGGTAAAATATATGTCGGGATTAAGAAAGAAGCAGAATTTACCTTAAATAAATAATGGCCTTGTTTTTGTGTCTGTTTCTGCTATTTTCGGTTCCATTTTCTTAATCATTGTATTTCAGTTTGTGTGATACATTTATTTTTCTGGTCAATTCTGTTCTCAATCTCTCTTTTGCCCACACCTCCCTCCCGTCTTGAATCTTTGGGACATATTGTGATGTCTGCCCGCTAATTTTGCTGTGACTAGGCCTGGTGTCTGGTTTGTGATTCATGTTTGTTCCTAAATTGTACATCTGTGTTGGTTGCTTTGAAACAGTGCCCCAGGGAATATGAAAGACATTTGTCTCACTAAGACTGCTTCTTTGCACTGGAGAATTCTTCTCTGGCTTCTTCTGAATTCTAGCAAACTCTCCTATGAATTTAGGCAGAAGAAGAAACTAAAACCAAAGAGGAACAGGATGGAAAAAGTTTGGGTGGGTGGCTGGGTCTAGTCTTTGCTTACCTGAAAAAACTATCCTTAGATACTAAACTGGGGACAGATGTGTCTTAAGATACCCACTCCAAGCCCTATGACTTATCCTTTGCCTACAAGGAATGCCTCTAACAGAAAAGAGGGCACATTGAGCACTGGATGGAAACCCTCAATGGAAAAAAGTTCTGAGAGCTGGGTAGACATACCCACTTGGCAGCTCTTCTAAGATTTTAGCACAGTTAGACCCAGTAATGACTTGCATAATATTTAATGCCTGGTATTTCATGAATGCTGACCAACTAAAGGGACACAGGCCTTTATGCTGCAGCTAGAGACCGCCTGCTATGCCAGACAACAACCCTTTAGCTAGTAAAATTCACCTGATCCAGGTGGGCCTCAATCAGCCGCTCTTCCTAAAGTATTTTAATACTTTAATGTCCATAAAGGCCAAACAGATACATACCAAAAGAACAATATGAATACACATGAAATCATCCTCCCCAATAAGCATAATGTAGTCCCAGCTTCACTTTTTAAGAATCTACCCTCTTTATCCTTAAGAAGAGTTCAAACCTAGCATCAGGACCTACTGGTTCCACAGGATTTGGATGGCAGCACAAAGGAGCGCTCATCCACAAAGGAGCTCTTTATTTCATTCAACAGCGAATACAGATCTCACTCAAGGAGAGTTTGCAATTTAACTTTCATTCTATTTTCACTTGCTGCAACACATGTGGCTTACAACATAGCTTTACCTCCAGGCAAGCTGGCACACAGGCTGGTATCTGTGAGTGATTGTCTGCCTGCCTGCCTGCCTGCAATCTTTGAAAGGCAGCCCTGTCTCAGACCATTAGCCTGCTGTGAAAATCTATCTGCAGTGCCTTGAAAGTCCAAATACATATTGGATTGTTACAGCTCGCCCTTGTCCTTTTAAGCAGAAATTCTTACTTGCTGCTTCTTATCAGATACCTGGAGATTGTAGGTTGACTAAAAGCAGCTTCTCAGAGAATGGTCTCTGGGGACACATATAACCCTGAATTCTATCATTTCTTCATTCCTTATTTCAGCAAAACTTTACAGTTTCAGGGTAATTTGCTGCCTCCCTTGTCTCTGTTCCAGGTAACAGCAAAGGTTGCTTAGAGTCTATCTGAGTCTATAAACCAACCATAACTTTTGGTTAAGTCCAGAGACTGAAAGGAAATTGCACTCAGCTGTCTCCTGGGCCGTTCTGAATCTCTGTGATTAGGGGAGTCTAAGGCTATAACAAGATTACTTGGGTTCTATTTCTCCTTCCACAAGTTACTAGCCTGTGACTTTGAGCAAGGTATTTAAATCTCTTGCAGTGAATCAGAATTGACTCCATGGCAGTGGGGTTGGTTTTGATTAGTTTAAGCCTCAATTTGAAGGAGGTCTGGTAGCATCATGGTTAAGCACTCCACTGCTAACCCGGAGGCTGACAATTCGAACCAACTCAGTGGCCCCATGAGGAAAAATAACTGGCAATCTGTTTCCACAACGATTACTAAGAAACCCTATAGGATAGTTGTACTGTTCCATGGTCACTATGATGCAGAATCTGTTCAGTGGCACCAAACAAAAAGAACAAGCCTCATTTTCCTCAAATACAGAGCAGGATTATAATGTATACTTCACAGGGTTCTTATGAGGAGTAAGTGAAGTTATACATTAGATTCTTGTTGATGTTGTTAAATGCTGTCAAGTCGATTCTGACCCATAGCGACTCTGTATAGGGTTTCAGAGAAGCAGCTGGTGAGCTTGAACCACTGTCTTTATGGTTCAAACCAACTTTGCAATCCAATGCATTAACTCACAGCACCACACCAGAGCACCATACATTGGATGGTGGTGGCTGTATGCCATGGAGTCAGTTCTGACTCATAGCAATCCTGCATAGGATTTCCAAGGCGGAGCAGATTGCCTCATCTTTCTCCAGCAAAACAGCTGGTAGTTTCGATCTGCTGACCTTGAAGTTTGCAGCCCGATTCATAACCACTACACTACCAGAGCTCCTTATACATTGGATAGTACTTTGTAAATTGAAGAGAAATGTTAGCAACATCAACCTCAAGAGAACAAGTTGCAAGAACTATCGAATGAAAAGATGCAAGAACATAGAAATTCACTGTGACACTGAAATAAGTATGCTGGAAGACCACTATTAACTTGGAAAAGAAAACTCCTCATCCCCACATTCTGCAAAGCCTTTGTTGGGGAGCAGTGAATGAACTGGGAAAATTCCAGATAAGAAAGTTGCTGCCATTTTGAGGATAAGGGATGTTGTGTGTACAGGAGACCAATAGGTGGAATGATTAAGGAGATCATGAGAAGGAGGCAGCATGTAAGGTAATACCATGGTAACCAGTTGCCAGCAAGTCAACTCCAACTCAAGGTGACTCTGCTTCATAGAGTTTTCAATGGCTGATTTTTTGGAATTAGATACCAAACATTTCTTTCAAGGCATCTCTAGGTAGACTTGAACCTCCAACCTTTCAATTAGCAGCCAAATATGTTGATTGTTTGCACTGCCCAGGGACTCCAATACCAGGGTACCTATCCCTCGCCACCATAGAGTTAATTCCAACTCATAGCAACCCCATAGGAAAAAGTAGAGCTGCTCCCAAAGATTCTCAATACTGTAAATCTTTGGGGGAGCAGACAGTTTCATTTTTCTCCCAAGGGCTGACAGGTGAGTTTGAACCACTAACCTTGTGGTTACCAGCCTGATGTTTAATCTACTGTGCCACCATGGCTCCTAACACCAGGGTATGGAGAGAGAAAACAAGGCACTCAAATGCTGCTGCACTTGCTTCTGTATTCATTAATCAGAGCTGCTCAAACAATTCTGGACTTGAGGGTACCTTACCCAAGTTTAAAGGATACTGACCAGAAACTTCTTTGAGCTCCTCGGCCAGAGACAGTGCACATGTCTTGCTCTAGAGACAAAGCTCTGCAGCCCCTGAGATTACTTTGGCATTATCAGATTAATTATGTCATTTTCTGAAATTCAAATTGCACATATGGATATTAAATCTGATCATCCGGTTGGATGTTTTCAGGGTAGCACTTTGTTCCTGAAACATTTAGAAATATACACATCATATCGTTAATGAGTCTGTGATCTTTATTGATGGCAGGAAGAAGCCTTTCAGCTAGGAAGACTCATTCAAGTCCAAGTTCAATGTCTGACACCTATTGCTGTGCTTGATGCTCCTTCTGGAGGTGTTTGTTATTCCCAAATTGTTTTCTGCTGGTCTCTTGTTCTGAATTTATCAAAGTTGCTCATGCTGCTGAAAGATCATACACTCTGCTCCTGGACTAACTCCTGGCTCTATTTTACTGATGGTGGAATATTGGTAAATTATTGAATTTCTGTGGGACTCAGTGTCCTCAAATACAAAATGGGAATGATAAGGACAACATCTCAGAACATGAGAACATTCCATAAAAGTGGATAGTTTCATGTCAAGTGCAGGGCACCTAGTTTCTGCACACACTAGGTTGTAAGTGTTTATTTGTTGCCCTCTTCTGTGGTTCTCATGTGACTCTAGTATTCTGTTCTCTCATTCAGCTTTGATGTAGAAAATGGCCCTTCACCAGGTCGGAGCCCACTGGACCCCCAGGCCAGCTCATCCTCTGGACTTGTGCTTCATGCCACCTTCCCTGGCCACAGTCAGCGCAGAGAGTCTTTTCTCTACCGATCAGACAGCGACTATGACTTGTCACCAAAGGCAATGTCAAGAAATTCCTCACTTCCAAGCGAGCAGTAAGTACAATCTCTGTCTGACTTCCAGTCTCACACATACTTCATCTTTAACCTCGTCACAGCAGCAACAACAAAAACAATAGCTCTTCTTTTACCCATTGGGGGAAGGGAGGAGACAAGTGAACTGAAGCAGAGGTTACAACTCTAACCATTAAGGACAGTGATGCTCTGTAGTGTGAGGGACCTCCAGCCTGGTTTTCAAGGGTATTAAAAACTTCAGGCATGGTTTACTTTACATCTATATACAGTTTGCATCTTTACATCGATAATGTTTTTTTCTTTGCTTTGAGGTTCACTTTCTCAACTGCTTAATCATCTATAGGTTGAAAACCTAAATACTTATTTTGAAAATCGCCCTTGATCTTTTGACAGGCTGTGCAATTTGTGTTGGGCACCAGGAGAGGAGAGAATTGGGGGCTGGTTACCCTCATCCTTTATTGGTGGGCTTTGCTTGGTGACAGTTAATAAGCTTTCAGTCAACCACATGCCTATTTCTCTTTTCTGGACTCTAACACAATGCCCACTTACTGCCTGACTCCTTCATGAGATACAACACATTCCACCACCCTATTAAGCACAGCTGATATTTTTGTTTTGCTCCTTTTAATTGTAAAGCTCTAATTTTTATTTAAAGAGCAGTCACTGGGTTGTGTTACTTGTTTATTAAATTTCTTAAACCAAATAAAATTGGGTGTTGGAATTTATGCCTTCAAACGTTTCTGGGCACACATACAATTGTTTTTAACATCATATGTTATAAAAATATCAGCAGCTCCCAAAAGTCCCCAGCCTGGAAAATTCCACTGGGTTCTCTTCTGTTACTGGAAAGGAGGCTTAAAAAGTTCACTCTGCTAACAAAGTAGCAAAGAGCCTTCTAAAAGTACCAGCAAGAAAATAGCCCTGGGAGGTTATTAGAAGCATTCTTATCCTGAAAAATCTCAACCACTGTGTGGGCCAACTTTCATTTATGAACACATTTGACAAATATTGCTATTTACTGAATCTCTCCTATGTGCCATGCACCTTACAAAGCTCTGGGGATCAAGATAAACAAAACAGTGGGGAAATCACAGCTGAGTCAAACACAGATCTTGTTCTCAAGGAGTTTGCATGCTCTCAAGGAGATTACAATTAAATAAGAAAGAAAAGAGGACCATACACAGAGCTCTACTGAGTGGAAAGAAATGAACTTTTAATGAGCAATTACCCTGGGGCCAACTACATTTACATACATTATCTCTTTTAATCTTCACAACAATCCTGTTGGATATGAGCCATTATTATTCTCACTGATGAAACTGGGACTCTGAGAGATTGAGAAACATGCCTCTATTCCACAACTAGTAGGGTATGTAGCCATATTCAAAACATTTGGACTCTTTTCACCCCTATTCTTCCAACTGCAAAGTAACATCTATACAGTTCTTGTTGCTGTTGTTAGTTGCTGAAAAGTTGATTCCAACGCATGGCCACCCTATATGTGCAGAGTAGGGTTTCCAAGGCTGAGATCTCTTGGAAGCAAGTCACCAGGCCTGTCTTTCAAGCATCTCTTGTTGTTGTTACTGTTACATGCTGTCAAGTCAGTTCTGACTCTTGGTGACCCTGTCTAGGGTTTTCGAGAAGCAGCTGTGAGTTTGAACCATACACTTTGTGATTCAAGCTGACCTTGTATCCTGTGCTTATCCTACAGTGTCACACTAGGACTCCGAGCATCTCTGGGTGGGTTCAAACCTCTAACTTCATGGTTAATGGTGAAACACTTATCCATTTGTACCACACTAGGAACCACCCAGCAGGTAGAGAATAGGTAGATGCAGAGTAGTGGTGCCTGAAGACTTGAGGTCATGTAGAACCATGACAAGTTCTGATTCAGGATCAGGTAGAGGACTTTGTCAGTGAGTGTGTTTGGAGTTCTCTCTTTCATCAAGATAAAAACTTTCCTAAATTTCATTTGGGAGTCCCAGGGTAGCACAAAAGGCTAAGTAAGCAGTTTACCACTGGTTGAAAGATTGTTGGTTCAAACCTACCCAGAAGCATTTTGGAAGATAGGCCTGGCCATCTCCTTCTGAAAATGTACAGTCTTGAAAACCCTGTAGAGCTATTCTGCTCTGTACACATAGAGTCGCCAAGAGTTGGAGTCAATTTGACAGCAACTAACAACTTTATTTGGGGAGAGCATAGTAAATGTTAGAAAAACGCCAAACAACTGGGCAACACCAACCCAGAAAGAATAGGGAAGCCTTCTGAAAAGGAGACAGTGAACACAGGTTATATAGATCATTGTCATGTTAATTTTCCAGGAGTTAGCATCAAGATGAAGCCTTGGTGGTATAGTAGGTTACCTGCTGGACTGCTAACAATAAGAGCACGGTTCAATTCCACGAGCCACTCAGTGGAAGCAAAAATGAGGTGTCTGCTCCAGTAAAGGTTTACAGCATCAGAAACCCTAGGGAGCAGTTCTCCTCTGGCCTCTAAGAGCTCTAGGAGTTGAAATTGACTTGATGGCAGCAGGTTTGGTTTTGGGGTTTCACATCAGAACATGTGCAGAGTTCCAGGGTCAGTTGATTGTAGAAAAGAGTCCCTGTGGAAACGCCATATGTTTTCCAGTCAGACCCTGGGATTCCTGCACAGATAATTCTCTGTAAGAGTCAGTTCCTAAGGCAAAACAATCTCCCCAAGCTGCTTACTGGACTATTGTTTGACTTGAAGGTGACTTTGGGAAGACAGTTCCTTAAAGGCTAAAGGTTCAAAAGGGCATTGAAGGGTAACCTGAGAGGGTCACCCCGACTCCATGAACCTGAAAGTCTGAATTCTAGGAGAACTAATCTGTGTCCTGGTGTGGTGCTGTAGGATAAAGCACTGTACCACAAGGTCAGTTTGAACCACAAGGTTGGAGGTTCGAACTCACCAGTCGCTCGTTGGAAACCTTATAAAGGGTCTCTATGAGTTGGAACCAACTCAACAGCACTTAACAACAACTGCACTGCTGTCAGAGGCTTGATGTGGTACTGTAGGATAAGCACTGGACTGCTAATCATAAAATTGTTGGTTCAGATCCACCAGCCACTCCTTGGAAACCCTTTACAGGGTTGCTGTGACTCAAACTAACTTGAGGAAACTTAACAAAAACCGTCTTTACAGAAGCAGATTACCAGGATTTTTCTCCTCCAGAATTGTTGGTTGGTTATAACCATTGAACTTTTGTTTAACAGTGGAGTGCATAACCATTGTGCTACCAGGACTCCTTATTCCCTGCTGAGGCATCCTTTACACCCAGCATAGTTTAGTCAAGAACTTTTATATGATATATAAAATTTTGCACATTTATGCTGTATTAAATACTAACAGTAGAGGAAAAACTAGTTTTTTTCAATTTCACATCTGAACTCTTAGAAAGGTAAGATGCATAGACAGAATAGAAACATGTAAAATGGAAACATAGGAAGTCTTCAAAAATTTCATGAAAAATTGCATTTAAAAGATAATGGAATTTTTACCTAAAATGGGGCTACAATGTGCCCGGTGAAGGAGGCTTCCTGCGGAGCCTCTGCATTACTTAGGTGCAATCCTGAACCCCATCCAGAATCTTCTGAGGTGGGAAATTTCCATTTGAAAGGATGGGCAGACCAGCCAGGAGCAGCTAGAAGTACTTCTTGAAAGAAAGACCAACAGGAAAAATACAAAACAATATAGGCAGACCGACTGTTACTACAAGAACAAGCAAGTTGCTTGCCCAGGAGACATCAAGGTAAGTGGTCGGGTCTCTTCAGAGCAAACCCCCTTCAAAGACTAAGACTCAAGGGGGATACACACTCTGATTGGTGACTACAGTCATCACCGATTAGGGGAAGTGAGGGAAAAACAGCAATGAAGCTGCAAGCTAAGCCCTACAATATTCAATAGATTCCTGTGAACCTGGGTGGAGACCTGGTTGGCTAGCAGTGTGGCAAGACCTGGAAACTCTTGGGCCCAGGGTCAGTGACATAGCCACAGAGGACTAGAATGGAGAGTGAAGCATCCAGCTGATAAGAAGAGAGGGCATATGCACAAGAACACCCACACTTGCGGATAATATACACTTGACCTGGCTTCAATGGCTGGATGATCAGAGCTCAACTAGAAGAAGAAAGAATAGGAAGTAAAGAGTAATCTGATACAATTTGATGAACTTGACCTACACCTATGGATGCAGTA